AGACAATCTCAGATAGTGCAGAGTGTAATTTACGGCTCTGATACAGTAGTCACACAGGTCCTCACCCATGTCGTTCTCTCCCTTGGTAGTCAACTAGGCCTTTTCCCCTTTGCAGAATATAAGCGGACAAAAACTTGATAAGACATAATCTTAACAGTGTGTATGTTTCATGTTTGTGTTTTCTTTCAAGGCCCAACGATAACTTACAATTACCATTTGTCTAGATGGTTTTAAATTTATCGTGGTATTTTATGTTGAGTTTCGTTCATTTTGTAGCAAATGTGACAATTTTACTTTTCACGTCAGTGTTTCTAATTTGATACTTTTGTTTTCCTTGCCAGTATATCCAACAAGATACCTTTGTTTCCACGAAAATATAAGAAAGATGGCTATTTTGTTACTCACTGCTGGAAATAAATGGAATATAAAAGTTAAATATCTGCTAATCTAATTATCAAATAGTCACGTCCAGTCACAGAATAGTGTGTTCTAATTCTGTTGCCAGCTTTGGTGTTAACAATAAAACCATGTAAAACTTATACACAATGCTATTAAGTAATGCAACTGAGGAGTGTTTCAACGAGAAGTATTGAAGGTAGACATCTTTACTTGACCGAAATTATATCCCACGTCCATGCGCGAGTCACCTCATCGACTGATGAAATTTAATAACCGGCTTCAGTAAGTCCCACCGAATCTGCCGCAATAATAACGAAGTTTCTTTTGTCACAAATTCACTAGTTTTACATGTAACTAATGCGGGAAAGTTTCGGCTGAATATGAACTTTTGGCTCTCCTTCATATAAGAGGAAACAAACAAGCTGCTAAGGAGAAGCAATATATTTCTATTCTTTATTTGAAACCTGGCAAACACACAACAGACGACATTTCTTGAATCGAGCTATGGAAGGATCCTGAAGATACGAAGCCACAGTAGCATTCTTTGCAACAAAAAAGGAGACCTGACGTTACCTGAAATATAGCTGCTATCCCCAGCCAAAACAAGAGTGTGGTACCACTCATAACAAAAAAATAAAAAAAGAATGCATCTGAACTTGAGAACGGAGTTAATCACACTAGCAATGCTAGAATGCATGCGTCTTACATGTTATGTTCAACCACAAGGAAAAGAACTCAACGTTCCTGGGCAGTCCCAATGAAATGTAACTTTCACCTAACATATAGTCGACCTTTGACGTTAACTAATCTGCGCATGCGTTTGGAGCAAATTGCTTTTGTTTTTAAGAGAATAGCACCACAAGGATAGCATGAGATTTGCAAAACCATATAATTATATACTTTTGTCATGTTATCGAAGAAAGTAACGTAGATATGACACGTTTTGTGTAATGCACATGGGCACCTTTTAGCTACCCCACCCAGCCCCCCTTCCCACAAGACTAATTGATTAATTGAAATTAATTAATTAATTTAACAAACATTAAATTTTACACCTTATTGTGTCAGAACATAGTGCCTGACTAAACAGCAGCCCCCTAAACCATCCCAATAGTGCACTCTGCACTAAAAACATTGGAGACTATGAGACCTGTGAAATTTGGCTATAAATGTCATGGAAGATCCTTTTAGAATACCATTCCACTTGAAAACAAGCCATGGAGGCCTCCAAATTTACTATATGAAGTTTCAGTATTGTATTGCAAGCTACATGTAAAGAGTATTGAAAACTGTCAAATGTGACCTTACCTCCATTATAGACATCTGTAGGGACATGAACAACACTCTTGTTAAAGCTGATGGCATTTTTGAAGGTAGAGTTGTATTCCAATTTCAGACCACTCTTATTTAGATACTTATCCAAATCCTTAGCATTTGGATAGTTTTCTTCACTCAGCTGAAATTTAAAGTAATAAACAAATTAATGTTCAACAATTATTCCACGAGCGCACGTTGGACATGAGATGGTAGATAGTGAACAAGACACATAGTGTCAAGTTGGCTATAATCATCTCAGATCCGACAAGCATGAGAGGAATAATTGTTAAATTATTAGAAACACTTCTGATTATCATCCATCAAATACTTCTGCTCACACGCAATTGGTCTAAATGCATCACATGACTGAATATTCCCCA